GTACACAAGAGGTGATGTTATCATATATTATAACCACTGCTACTACTCTCCCACCACTAAGCCTTCCACTACTACTTGCACTACCTGCTGCTACTACTACTACTACTACTACTACTACTACTACTACTACTACTACTACTACTAACTTACTACTACTACTACTACTACTACTACTCCAACCTCTCTTGTCCTGTCCCTGCCAGCTGGCCTGTATATACTGGCTGCTTCTCTCCTTTCTGTTAGTGTGACTTGGTAAATGGTCCACGTCGGATCGTCGTAAGCTCCTCTCTTATGTGCAGGTTATTTGTGTTAATTAACAAGTTTAAGAAGAGAGCAGAATCATATAATTCCTTATCTTTTGACAAAAACACAAGGTTGTGAAGCAAAAAATTCAAGACTTGGAGTTTTGTACGGACAACATTGGCACAAAAAAAATAATAAACGAAAAAATAAGGAATATTATTAAACATCGTAAAATATTTTTTTAATCAAGGTTAATATTACGACTTCATGTTAGGTTACTGTGTTGAAGTGTTATGTAAGACATGACTGCTGTGTTGAACGGTAACTTAACAGTAATGCCAGTACAGCATTACTGTTAAATCACAGAACGAGTGGGACTCGAACCTGTGACAGTAGAGCCTTGAAACTTCCTGGCCAGTGTGTTAATTACTGGACCATCTGGCTCTAATATGATTCATCCAGCTAGGAATATTCCTATACACAGTAGGAATGTTAGCATGGGTCCCCACTGTGACCACAAATACAGTTTTTTTACAGATGGACCCCGCATCTGCATTTGTGGTCACAGTGGTGGCCCATGCTAACCTTCCTATGGTGTATATAAATGTACAGGGAGTTTCAGAATGAGTCCATGATTTTAAAACACCCTGTATTTAGTTGGATGACTCCTGATACAGCCAGTTGGTCCAGTGGTTAACACACCGGCCACGGAATTTTGAGATTCGCTTACTAGGGGGTTCGATCCCCACCCGTTCTGTGGTTTGTTTGCAATCGTGTAATTACGATTTCGTGAGTCAACGTTGCTACACTGAACAATCCTATGCAAATACAAAATTACTGTATTGAACGATAATACGTGAGTTCAAAATTAGTGTTGAACAACGCAGAAAAAAAATCTTAGCTATTAGTCATGTAGTCTATAACCAACACTTTATTTGGCATTTAACTTTTCAGCTGACATCTAACATTTCAGCTAACATCTAGCATTTTAGCTGATATCTAACATTTTAGCTGACATTTAACATTTTAGCTGACACCTAACATTTTAGCTGACATCTAACATTTTAGCTGACATTTAACATTTTAGCTGACACCTAACATTTTAGCTGATATCTAACATTTTAGCTGACATCTAACATTTTAGCTGACATTTAACATTTTAGCTGACACCTAACATTTTAGCTGACATTTAACATTTAGCTGACATTACATTTTAGCTGACACCAACATTTTGCTGACATCTAACATTTTAGCTGACATCTAACATTTTAGCTGAATTTAAACATTTTAGCTGACACCTAACATTTTAGTGACATCTAACATTTTAGCTGACATTTAACATTTTTTAGCTGACACCTAACATTTAGTGACATCTAACCATTTTAGCTGACATTTAAATTTTAGCTGACACCTAAACATTTTAGCTGACATCTAAATTTTAGCTGACATTTATACATTTTAGCTGACACCTAACATTTTAGCTGACATCTAACATTTTAGCTGACATTAACTTTTAGCTGACATTTAACATTTTAGCTGACACCTAACATTTTTGCTGACATCTAACATTTTAGCTGACATCTAACATTTAGCTGACATTTACATTTTAGCTGACACCTACCATTTTAGCTGACATCTAACATTTTAGCTGGACATTTAACATTTAGCTGACACCTAACATTTTAGCTGACATCTAATTTTAGCTGACATTTAACATTTTAGCTGACACCTAACATTTTAGCTGACATCTAACATTTTAGCTGACATTTAACATTTTAGCTGACACCTAACATTTTAGCTGACATCTAACATTTTAGCTGACATCTAACATTTTAGCTGACATTTAACATTTTAGCTGACACCTAACATTTTAGCTGACATCTAACATTTTAGCTGACATTTAACATTTTAGCTGACACCTAACATTTTAGCTGACATCTAACATTTTAGCTGACATTTAACATTTTAGCTGACACCTAACATTTTAGCTGACATCTAACATTTTAGCTGACATTTAACATTTTAGCTGACACCTAACATTTTAGCTGACATCTAACATTTTAGCTGACATTTAACATTTTAGCTGACACCTAACATTTTAGCTGACATCTAACATTTTAGTTGACATCTAACATTTTAGCTGACATCTAACATTTTAGCTGACATCTAACATTTTAGCTGACATCTAACATTTTAGTTGGCATCTAACATTTTAGCTGACATCTAACATTTTAGCTGACATCTAACATTTCAGCTGACATCTAACTCTTTACTTGACATCACCGCACACTAAATGCGGAATATATTTAAGAGGTAAAAAAAATATACCAGGAAGGAAAACCATTCCAAAGAACTGAAAATAAAATAGAAAGAGGCGACCAGGATCACCAAAAAGTTCTGAGAGATAAGAAGGTGATAAGAAAACAATGTATACGTGAAAGCTAAAGTTTGGGGGGGAAAATTCTTGAAGATTATGCAAACTACTTAGGATTATAGACAGAATACAAGAAAAAAGCTGAAAGGCAGAAAATAACACCAGAGGTGGAAAAAGAAATTCTCAGTGTACATTAGTGTTGGAGATTTTGGTTCGATTCTGAAATGTGGAGATATGATTTAGGAGCCTTGACAGACAGCCAGGGTAGGATGATAGGTAGGGTAGGATGATTGGTAGGGTAGGATGATAGGAAGGGTAGGATGATTGGTAGGGTAGAATGATAGGTAGGGTAGGATGATTGGTAGGGTAGAATGATAGGTAGGGTAGGATGATAGGTAGGGTAGGATTATAGGTAGGGTAGGATGATTGGTAGGGTAGGATGATAGGTAGGGTAGGATGATTGGTAGGGTAGGATGATAGGGTAGGATGATAGCCAGGGTAGGATGACAATCAGAGTAGGATGACAACCAGGGTAGGATGACAACCAGGGTAGGATGACAACCAGGGTAGGATGACAACCAGGGTAGGATGACAACCAGGGTAGGATGACAACCAGGGTAGGATGACAACCAGGGTAGGATGACAACCAGGGTAGGATGACAACCAGGGTAGGATGACAACCAGGGTAGGATGACAACCAGGGTAGGATGACAACCAGGGTAGGATGACAACCAGGGTAGGATGACAACCAGGGTAGGATGACAACCAGGGTAGGATGACAACCAGGGTAAGATGACAACAAGGGTAGGATGACAACCAGAGCAGGATGACAACCAGGGCAGGATGACAACCAGAGCAGGATGACAACCAGGGTAGGATGACAACCAGGGCAGTCATACCAAAACCCATAAGCCAGACTAACCAGAGAAGCCATCTGTCAGACTGGTAAACCAGGTTAATTGCCAGTCAGTTTAAATAAGAACGGGATTTGCAGATTCGGACATGTAATACACAGTTTACAAAGGAACAACAACAAACAAGTGAATAACGCCAAACATAAGAAAACAAAATCTGTTTTCTTGTTCAAGGAGAAAAAAGGCGCTGAGGGACACGTACGAGTTAAGCGCTTCTCATCCTCCTCATTCATCCATCCATCCATCCATCCATCCATCTGCCTACCACCTCCACCGTCCCACTAACCCACCACTACCTCCTCCAACCCACTAACCCACCACTACCTCCTCCAACCCACTAACCCACCACTACCTCCTCCAACCCACTAACCCACCACTACCTCCTCCAACCCACTAACACACCACTGCCTCCTCCAACCCACTAACCCACCGCTTGAAGTTCCTCAACCCACCATTTGAAGTTCATCAACCTGTACTCCCTAGAAAGTAGGCAGGACAGATACATAATTATATACACTTGGAAAATCCTAGAGGGATTAGTACCAAACTTGCACACGAAAATCACTCCCTATGAAAGCAAAAGACTCGGCAGACGATGTAACATTACCCCGACGAAAAGCAGAGGCGCCAGTAGCACGATAAGAAAAAGCACAATAAATGTCAGGGGCCCAAGACTGTTCAACTGCCTTCCAGCATACATAAGGAGGATTACCAATAGACCCCTGGATATCTTCATGAAGGCGTTGGACAGTCACCTAAAGTCAGTTCCTGACCAGCCAGGCTGTGACTCGTATGTCGATTTACGTGCTGCCAGGAGTAACAGCCCGGTTGATCAGGCCCTGATCCACCATGAGGCCTGGTCACAGACCGGGCCGCGGGGGCGTTGTTCCCCGAAACCCTCTCCAGCTATATTCCAGAAATAACCCACCACTACCTCTTCAGGCCCACTAACCCACCACTAACTCTTCAAAGCCACTAACCCACCACTATTTCCTCAAATCCACTAACCCACCACTACCTCCTCAAAGCCACTAACCCACCACTACCTCCTCAAAGCCACAAACCCACCACTACCTCCTCAAAGCCA